TTGTGGTTTTTTTCCACGCTTGTCTTAGAATGCATCATCAGCCATGCCATCGCATGCCAAACCAACCATGCCCGATATAATTCAACGGATTCCTGCCGCGGCAGATGACGCAATGTAATCGCTGGAGCAAACCGTGTGGGAGCGAAGGAGGAAATGGAAGAGAGAACGGCATGTAACAAATAAGCAATAAACAATAATTATTGTTCACGTCCTTCGACATTCATCATGATATTGCTTTTCTGAAGCAAGGCGTGCCGCGGATTTGTGCTGATATGAGATTTCGCGAAATTTTGAATGTGTGACACATTTTTTTTGATTCACCACTCATTTCGGAAACCGGGGATGAATAATATGACCCACGGCTCTACAATTTATGAAGCTGCTATTTTCCTAGATGTCTCGGATATCTATTTTCCTAGATGTCCCAGATATTCCGTGGCGGGCTGCTCCAATTCGGAGAGAATAAAGCATTGTCGCGGTCAAGAGTGCAAGTCGTCTTCGTGTTCCGACCCAAAGTTACGCAAAAGAAACAAATGCGCACAATGCAAGCAAGAAGGCGAAATTAGTAGTGGGATGAAGCTGTCGCGCCCCCTTTCTGGCCTGCGAGTGGCAACCCTGGCCCAAACCAAAAAATACATAATCCTCCAATGGCCGCGCACGGCCGCCGTCGCGAGCGGACGCGTGCAAGGCGACAAATCTGCAGTTCAGAGAGAAGGAGGATAAAGAAGAACGGGGGGCGGAGGAGGAAGAGGGAGAGGAGGAGGGGCTGAAGAGGAGGAGAGGGGGAGAGAGACCGAACCGACGGGAAAAAACAAGACAGCCGCACAGCTCGAGCATGGGCCAAACCGGGGGCGCAAAAAACTCGGGGAAAAAACATCGCACGGAAACTCAAAAGGCAATACGGGGAACCCACAGAAAAGGCAAGAAAAACAAACGACTTGAAACCAGCGTTCAGAAATTGAAGCCGTTGTCTCCCCGGTAATTGAAACCCCTCGGTGAAGTTATGGAAACTCTTCAAAATTATGGAAACTCGTCTCAATTCAAGTATGAAATCCACTGTGAAATTATGGTATCCACGGTTTGATTCAATCTCTATCCCAACAAAAAACCACCGCTCATGCACTTCGGCACCAAAGAAGTAGAGCGCGCCCAGGAAATCATCAAATCTAAGCACTGAATTTTGGTCATGATATTCCAATGACCACCTGGTCCGACCACGGGGCAAACCATGTCGTGTTGGCGGGCTGCAACGTTGAGCCTAGGAATGATGAGATCTAGTCGTGGATGGTCTGCGCAACCGATACGATAATCCCCCTACTTGCGCGGGAGCAATCGCGCGGATTCCACCCTCGAGTGCGCAAAAGCGCATCTCTGGGAACAATAAATCTGTAATCGGGAATTTTTAACACGTGCTGCAAAAGGTAGGCGCACGCATTTTTGTGCAAACTTGTCGATTCCTCTTACCGCTTTGCTCGAGGCAATTTGATCCCCGTGCTGATGTGGAAAATGTGCCCTGACATGGGTTCATTTTGATCCGTTCTGGGTCAGTTATTCTCCCCCTCTCTTCTTCCTCTCCTTTTCCTTTGCCTCCTCCTCCTCCTCCTCCTCTTCCTCCTCCTCCTCCTCCTCCTCCTCCTCCTCCTCCTCCTCCTCCTCCTCCTCCTCCTCCTTTGGACGTGCTTAGCCTGGCGCCGGGTCTTGACAAATTCGTTGTTTCACCCGCTCCTGATTTTCTAGACACTTGACGAATCGAGCTTGGTCCCCTGCTGCGGGATGTGTGCAACCTTAGCAGATATTGAGCACGTGTCCCCAAATCTGTTCTTCGCCCAGGGGCGAAACGACAAACGTCTTATGGCCAACAGGCTTTGGTTCTCTCCCCACACTCCAACATCGGACTCGAATTGCCAACTGCATCCACTCGGGGTTATTTTGATTTTAGTGTGTCCCCACTGTCCTTGTAATACGTACTTCTTGCTTTGAAGAGGAGAGAATAAGACCTAACGATTGGCGGGCACCAGCCGTCGTTATGAATAACACGATTGAAACTGTTGGCAACCATTTCCTTCATTGCCAACACGCGAACCGCGCAACACAATCGGAAACCATATCATTTATTTTCGTTTACTTCCGAGACGTCGGGAATTCTATACGCCTTTTGGTGTATAGGCTCCCTCGTCCTCTCCTCCATCTTTGAGGGCGAGTGTCTGTATATGTCCAAGCGCTTCTTAGAACGCGCTTCGCCACGCACAAACAAACCGCTCTGTGGCCGTCCATGGCGAGATAAGGACATGAAGTCGCGGTGCCTCTTTCCACACGAGCAAAAACGCAGTATTCAAAGTCACACCTTGCCAGCGAAAACGGCTGCCCACTGCAGCAAAACATCGGGATTCGAAAGCCGACGTGCATGCCCACTTCCATAAAGTGCACTGTGAAATGAGCTGGTATGAAACGCTGTCTTGTCACATTACGGGCGTTCGTCGCCATGTTGGCATTCGATGAATTTCCAATTTCCTCGGGTTGTTTGGGAGGCCTTTTAGTTTCCCCGGAATATGCAATTCAATTGATGTGAAAACGAACCAACGGCCCTGGTGAACTAGAAATACAGCAACACAACGGCAACACCGCATCAAAGATGGTACTCACGGCGGGCGACACCATATTTGAGGAGCACAAGAGCTTCGCAAATTCGTGGTGCCTGGCCACAATGTACCTCTAATCCCTTTAGTTTTTCTCTTCCTTCCTCCTCCTCCTCTTCTTTGTCCTGTTTCTTTTCTTCCTCCTCCTCCTCCTCCAACCTCTTCCTCCTTTTCCTCTTCCTCCTCCTCTCTCCTTTCTCTCTTCCTCCTCCTCCTTCTTCCTACTCCTCGTTCATTCCTCCTTCTCCTCCGTAATGCTTGCTCCTGGTGCGATGACGGCTGCCCCTGTTCCGACGATTGCAAGCAAATCGGCGAACTGCTGAACGCAATGCGATAGAGCTCGCCTAGATAAGTCTTAGAAGGAGAAGATGGTGTCTGTGGAGTACCCGAACTCTGGAGTACCTCCACCTGAGAGAAAAGGAAACGGAAGACGGTACGGGCGCCTACCGTGCAGCGATTGAAGAGTCCTGCAAACGTGCGTGGCCGTACACGTCAGGATGCGTTTGGAGTCTGGGACGCGAGTGCATCGAACAGACTCAGCTCGCCAATTAGCCGAATTGGTGAGCGGCTTTTGAAAGCGTGAAAGCGGGAAAGAAGGCCTGGTCAGACTTATGCCAGAGGCGTCCGACCCACCCTGGTCCGACCCGAACCCACAGAGCCCACACAGCAAACAGGCAAACCGGCCAGATGCCATAAGGGTGGTCCTAGGGCCCCGCGACCAACGTGTGTCGAGAGAGCGGCGATCGGTTCCCGAACACAGCTTTGCGTCACCTGGACTCGGCGACATTAATTAAAAGCTTTGCGGAGCACATTGGCTCCAGTTCCGGATGCCACTCCCCGTAGAGCAGCTCTGTAGACGCTGCGGTCTGGCTAGGACCCGCAGCCGCGGCCGTCCGGAGTGGCGTAGGGGGGTGAGCGCTGGTGCGCCGCCCCCCCTAGAGAAGTCTTACTACAGTCAGCCCGTATCAAAAGGATGCGTGATAAGGATGCAAGGGCCTTGGACGCCCATGTCGAAGCTTCTCGAGCGGGGCGCGGCCGACGAAAGTGGCCAAGGATGCACCGAGGTAATCTTTTGGAAGGTTGCCCACTATGCGGGTAGAGGCCGACCGACGCGCACCGTATCGTAATCTGGAGCGCGTGCTGCGCTTTGTTTTGCGATGTGGGCGCGGTGACCTCGATTGAGACGGACGGCCCCCTCTGGAGCGGTACCAGCTCTTGGTGGCCAATTGCAGGTGCGACCAGCACGAACCAACAACAACAGTACAAATCATATGGAAATTGTGGGCAATGGGCTGGCGAGCCTCCGACGCCCAGGTGCGGAGGTTTTCGGGAGAACATCCTTCTATTCGGCGTCCACGTGAAATTAACCTCGGTTTTCGCTCGCCGTTTCGGGATCTTGTGTCGACAGATCTCCACGCGAAAGACCGCTGCAGCACGTCTGCCAGGTCGGTGCAATGACGTGTGTGTGTGTGTGTGTGTGTGTGTGTGTGTGTGTGTTGTGTGTTGTGTTCCAACTTCCTGGTGCGTCTGGCCCTGCCTTGACCACTCCGGTGGTGGGGGATTCCGGGTTTTGCCCTCCAGTCAGCCGCAGCGCGGTGCGTGGTGTGGAGCCCGCTGGTGGACCTAGCTGTCCGCTGGTGGACCTAGCTGTCCGCTGGTGGCCCTCCCCCTCCCTCTATGTAGACGAAGGAAATACGGCATAAACATGCACTTTTGGCGTTCCGCGCGGACTTCTTGGATCCGCGCTGCACCCCCCTCCCTGGCGCAGGCAGCGCGCCAGGGGCGGCGCCGGAGGCGCCGCCAGGGGGGGCCCAGCGAGGATCCAAGAAATCCGCGCGGAGCTCCGAAGATTTATGTTTATGTTTATATGAATGTTGTTTAACCGATCCCCATCCCCAGCGGCGTGGCCTGGGCCCCACCGGCCGATTTACCCCCTCCATGGGGATATAGGCCGTTCCCTTCGGGTTTCGAACAGTGTATCCCCAACTGGGGTGGCAATGTGGTGGGGGTCTCGAGGGGGCTGGGGATGGGGATGGGGATCGGTTAGCCGCTGCCGATCAGAACGCTTTTTCTTCCTCGACTCCGGCGCCCCCAACTGGGGTGGCAATGTGGTGGGGGTCTCGAAGGGGCTGGGGATGGGCATGGGGATCGGTTCACCGATACCGATAAGAGGAGGAGGATACCGATAAGAGAACGAGGAGGCGAGAGGCGGAGAGACCAGAGGGAGGAGGAAGAGGAGGAGGAGGAGGAGGAGGAGGAGGAGGAGGAGGAGGAGGAGGAGGAGGAGGAGGAGAGGAGAGGAGGAGGAGGAGGAGGAGGAGGAGGAGGAGGAGGAGGAGGAGGAGGAGGAGGAGGCGATCCCTCTTCTTCGACTCCGGCGCTCCCTCGGGCCCCGACGTCCGCCCCACGCCGGCCGGGGCCCGCCTCCCCTCGCGCCCGCGCGCCGAGCGGCTGCGCCGCCGCCCGGAGCGGCTGCGGCTGCGTCGCCGCCCGGAGCGGCTGCGGTGCTGCTCCTCGGGGGGTCGCCGGCCGCGCGCGGCAGGAGGAGGAGGAAGGGCAGAGAGAGGAGGAGGAGGAGGGCAGAGAGAGGAGGAGGTGGAGGGAAAGCAGGAAGAGGAGGAGGAGGAGGAGGAGGAGGAGGAGGAGGAGGAGGAGGACCAGTGTAAACCCGAGAGTCATCAACGATGTTGGAAGTAACCCTCCCTCCAAGCTCCCTCTTCATGGGCCCCATACAGCGGGTTCATTTCCATTGAAGGAACTGCCTCGTTGGAAGGCAACCGTTTGAAGACCATGGAGCATGCGAAAACGTTGTTCTCAGGATTCCCACGCCACGGATCAACCTGACTGCTGCGTCCTGACGATATCGAATTGTGCCAGAATGCCATTTTTGAGACTTCTGCGAATCAACATAACTGTTGCCCCCGCATCAACCTGAATCCTTCCAAAATAACGTTTCTGGTACGTTGACCATGGGGATCCGTGAATCTTGCACAAATCAAAACGAATGTGCGCGGCGCTGAGGCGAGACCCACATTTTGAAAACCACCCGCCCTCAATCCGTGAAGCTCTTGAATTTTTCGGAAAAAACAACTGTGCGCGGCGCCCAGGCGAGAACCACATTTTGAAAACCACCCGCCCTTAATGCGTGAAATCCTTGCAAAATTTATAACGAATGTGCTAAGGCGAGAATCACATAGTAAAAACCACCCGCCCTCAATGCGTAAAATTGTAGGAAAAGTTTAAAACGAATGTGCGCGGCGCTAAAGCGAGAACCGCATTTGGAAAACCACCTGCCCTCAATCCGTGAAGTTCTTGCAAATAAGACAGCGAATGTGCGCGGCGCCAAAGCGAGAACCACATTTTGACAACGACCCGCCCTCAATCCGTGAAACTCTTACAAATTTTGAAAACGAATGTGCGCGGCGCCCAGACGAGAACCACATCTTGAAAACCGGCTGCCCTCAATCCGTGTCTATTGCAAAGTTTATAACGACTGTGCGCGGCGCTATGGCGAGAACCACATGTAACAAACCACCCGCCCTCAATCCGTGAAGTTCTTGCAAAATTAGAAAAGACGAATGTGCGCGGCGCCAAAGCGAGAACCACATTTTGACAACGACCCGCTCTCAATCCGCGAAACTCTTGCAAATTTTGGAAACGAATGTGCACGGCGCCAAGGCGAGAACGACATTTTGAAAACCACCCACCCTCAAGCGCTCTCGAGCCGAGACTAGCTAGAGAGAGCGAGAGATAGAGCGAGAGAAAGAGAGCGAGAGAGACATCGAAAGACAAGGAAAGAGAGAAAGAGAGAGAGAGAGAGAGAGAGACACCCACAGGGCTTTTCAAATTTCCTTGCCCTGGGCAACTGTTCCCAAAAAGGGGGCCTCCGAAATCGGGGGGGCCCGCCGCCGAGCAACAACTAATCCCAAGACTGGTGGGCCGCTCCCCCGCCTGACCCTCCCCCCGTCCCCCGCCCCGTACGGGGCGGGGGGGGGTCTCCCGACCACCCGCCCCGCGGCGCCAGGGGGAAGGGCGGGTTCTGGACCCGGACCCCCTCCTCGTCCCCCTCCTCCTCCTCCTCCTCCTCCTTCTCCTCCTCCTCCTCCCGGACCCCCTTCCCCCCCGCTGGCGCAAGTTGGGGCGGGCAAGTGACGAACCCCCCCCGCCTCGCTCGCCCCCCGCCCTTACCCGCGCCCGCCCGCCGCCGGCCGACGACGACGACGACGACGACGACGACGACGACGACGACGACGACGACGACGACGACGACGACGACGACGACGACGGGTCGGGCCGGCGGGTCGGGCGCGACATGGAGACCGGCGGGTCGGGCGGGCGGTCGAGGGTGGAAGTTCGAGCAGCGACGTGGGCGCGGTAGTCTTTGACTATCCCACGGCTGTGGGGATGTCCGCGGGCTTCGAAGGATTCGTGGAGGGCTCCTGAGGGTGCCTGCGGCTTCCTGAGAAGGTCTGTGCGGATGTTTCGGCCGGTGCCTGAAGGATTCCTGCAGGACTCCTGAAGATCCACAACATGGATTCCTGAGGTTCCTGTGGATTCGTGAAGATTCCTGGGGGGGGCTGGGGATTCTGGGGGACTGCTGAGGGCGCCTGAGGGTTCCTGCGGCATCATTCAGATTCTTGTGGGTTCCCGGGAGATTTCAGCAGAACCTTCGGGGTGCGTGAGGATTCCAGAGGGTTCCAAAGGATTCCTAACTAGGATTTCAAGGATCCTTGGAGGGCCGCTGCGGGCGCGAACGCCAGCACCGCCCGGCGGCGGGCGCGCGGAGGAGAAGGCGGCAGAAAAGGAGAGGGCGGACTAGAAAAAGGAGGGCAGGAAGGCGGAGGACGACAGACGAGGATGAGAGGACGGCAGGCGAGGAGAGCGCGGACGGCGCGCGAATGAAGGCGACCGAGAGGATCTGAGGCGCGCCTCCGCATCCACGTATTTTCCCCGCCACCCCTCCTCCTCCTCCTCCTCTTCCTCCTCCTCCTCCTCCTCCTCCTCCTCCTCCCTCCTCCTCCCTCCTCCTCCCTCCTCCCTCCTCCCTCCTTCCTCCTCCCTCCTCCTTCCTCCCTCCTCCCTCCTCCCCGCCGAAGCCATTCTCCCCCTGTTGGTTCCCAATGCCCCCCGGCTGTCCTGGCGGGAGCCTCACCGCCGGAGAGTATCGCCCCCAGTGCACCGACGGTATCATTTAGCACCCGCATTCCGAAATCCCCCCGTCGATCGAGCATCCATCCTCGATCGCGCCCGAGCCACATCTCTCAGCGCATCTGCCACAGCGTGAACGCATCTGAGACGAAACTCAACGCATCCCCCTTTTTGCCGCTTGGATACGGACACACATATATATATATATATAAAATAAGTGTATGTATGTCTACATATATATATATAGGTCCCAGCACACCATGAACCCCCCTTTTCTCGCGAAAGATGCCACGAGAAAAAGGGGGGCGGAAGGCGCGCGCTGCAACCGAAAAGGAAGAAGTGTGGCAGAAAGGTTGGTTGTGTGATGGAGAAGACAGGTGTGGAGTATCGGGTGGAGCGTTGGGGACGGAGGGTGTGGGGTACCGGATGGTGTGTAGGAGACGGAGGGAGTGGAGTACAAAGTTTTTTTCAAGTTCAGCTTGGGGAGGGAGCCTGTTGAGTATCGAGTGGTGTGTTGGAGACGGAGGGTGTTGAGTACTGGATGGTGTGTTGGAGACGGAGGGAGTTGAGTAGAAGGTTATTTTCAAGTTCAGCTTGGGGAGGGAGCCTGTTGAGTATCGGGTGGTGCGTTGGAGACGAAGGGTGTTGATTAGAAGATTATTTTCAAATTCAGCTTGGGGAGGGAGCCTGTGGAGTATCGGGTGGTGTGTTGGAGACGGAGGGTGTTGAGTACTGGATGGTGTGTAGGAGACGGAGGGAGTTGAGTAGAAGGGTATTTTCAAGTTCAGCTTGGGGAGGGAGCCTGTTGAGTACCGGGTGGTGTGTTGGAGACGGAGGGTGTTGAGTACTGGATGGTGTGTAGGAGACGAAGGGTGTTGATTAGAAGGTTATCTTTAAGTTCAGCTTGGGGAGGGAGCCTGTTGAGTATCGGGTGGTGTGTTGGAGACGGAGGGTGGTGAATACTGGATGGTGCGTTGGAGACGGAGGGAGTTGAGTAGAAGGTTATTTTCAAGTTCAGCTTGGGGAGGGAGCCTGTTGAGTACTGGATGGTGTGTAGGAGACGGAGGGAGTTGAGTAGAAGGTTATTTTCAAGTTCAGCTTGGGGAGGGAGTCTGTTGAGTATCGGGTGGTGCGTTGGAGACGGAGGGTGTTGAGTACTGGATGGTGTTTTTAAGACGGAGGGAGTTGAGTAGAAGGTTATTGTCAAATTCAAACTGAGTTGAGAAAGTCTTCCAACAATGAGGCTCAACATGAAGACCGAACATCGTAATAATCATATATGGACTCATAGATCATCTGGAGAAAAGGGGGTCCCTTGGTGCGTGCGGAGGGCTACATAGATGTATGTGTATGTATATATATATACACATACAACATCCTGTTAAACATCCTTAATGCAACTTTTTATTTGGCGTGTGTGTGTGTGTGTGTGTGTGTGTGTGTGTGTGTGTGTGTGTGTGTGTGTGTGTGTGTGGGGGGGGGGGGCTGAACTGGCCGACTCGCCTTGGCTGAACTGGCGGAGCAATCCCTAGGGCCGAGGACTGCGCTCCTGTCTCCAGTTCTGGCACGGGGCCTGCGCTGAGAGTAGTGCGCGCAATGCGGCGACCAATGGGTAATGGCAAACTTAACTTCGAAAACTAAATGGCGGAAACCAATTGTAGCACTCGTCTTTTGAACGCCTCCGCGTGGAATCGTCCATTGTGACGCCGTGCGCTTTCCTTACTGCTCGCGCGCGCGCCCCCTCGCGTGCGCCATGCAAAAACCAATTAAGGTAGACCATCTGAACTTTTAAGGTTGGATGGTGAAACGCCAATTGTGTCACTCGTATTCCGGTGGCCTCAACGTGATGTAACGCATTGTGACACCATGCCTTTTTTCCCAATTGCTCATGCACGCGCGCTCACTCTCGCGCGCGCAATGCAACAATCAAGGAAGAGTGTCCACCTGAATTTCGGAAAATGAATGGTGATCTGCCCATGTTCTGGTAGACCCAGCGTGGAACGATACGTTGTGACGGCGCGAGCAACGGTGAGCAACTATTGTGCAACAGAACATTATGCCATGTGCGGGCACGAAGATTGCAAATGGAACGGTGTGCTTTTCACCATTGAGCTTTGGATGCTAAAACGGCTATTCTTGATTTGTGCTTGTATTGAGCGCGCGGGAAATCAGAAATCGATGTATCGGGCCACCATGCATTATTCCACGTGAATGCCCCCAGAACGCGACTCAACAAACTTATGTTTACCCTTCGATTGTCGAACATACGATGGCAATTATTCCCCACATCCAAAGTGCGTTTCTTGTTTTCGGTCGACACCCCGCGCAGGAAAAAAGGAACACCCCTCCCTTCTTACACACTCACACACGCACATCAACATCATCATCATCACCATCATCACCGCATCAGCATCACTCACACACTCGTATACACTCCCATTGTCCAACTCCCTCACGCATTCCCAACAACTACCCATCACTCATCCTCATCCTCCTCATCATCATTCTCATAAGCATCACAACACCATCGTCAACACAGCCTCGTCTATGAATGAATTGCGAGGAGATATCAGGCGGGAGCCCCCTCCCTCTGGGGCCCGCCGCTCAGGTTCTTAATCCGAACGAGTCATCGGAATCCTGTAACTGTCGTTACTTTTGGGCGCCTGATGCATGAATCTGGACGAGGTATCCTGCGGGAGCCTCGTTTGTGAGAGAATTGCGGGGAAATAGCAAGCGAGAGCCCCTTCCCTCTGGGGCCCGCCGCTCATGTTTTTAAGGCCCAATAGGGCCCCAAGACGGGCCCAAGAAACGGCCAAGAGGGGGACGAGGAACCGAGAATTCGAGACTTCCGCCCTAAGAGGCCCCCGGGAAGCCCCAAGAGGCCCCCAAAAGGCCCCAAGAGGCCCCCGAGCGGCGCCAAGACGCCCCCAAGATGCGCCGAAGACGGCCTCCGGAAGCCCCAAGAGGCCCAAAAGAGGCCCCAAGAGGCCCCACAACGGCCCCCAAGAGGCTTCAAGTTGCCTTCCAGACGCCCCCGAGAGGTCAACCACGAGATCCCAACCAACATCCATAAGGCCTCCTCCTCCTCCCCCTTCACCCTTCCTCCTCCTACTCCCTTCCGCCTCCTCCTCCTCCTCCTCCTCCTCCTCCTGCCCCCCCCCCTCGTGTTGTCTTTCGTCATCTTCAGGGTCGGCGGCAACGGCCGTAAGGCCTTCGCAATAGCAAGCGAGAGCCCCTTCCCTCTGGGGCCCGCCGCTCATGTTTTTAATATGAGCAGGCCATCGGAATCCTGTAAGTGTCGTCACTTTCTGGCGCCTGAGGGCTGAACGTGTGAGCAAATTGCGAAGGTAATCTCAGGCGGGAGCCCTTTTCCGATGGGGCCCGCCGCTCATTTTTTGTTAAAAACAATATATATATATAAACAAAACGGGTCATCGGGATCCTGTAGCTGTCGTCGCTTTGGGGCCCCTGAGGCCTGGATATGGACAAACATATCAGGCGGGTGGCGGCCGCGCTGTACATCGCGTTGGACGTTCGCACATGCTACGGACGCAGTGACACGCACGACGTGCAGGAGTCCACGTGCAAGCGGCCGCACCGCCACTGCGGGTGCGTCCCCATCGTGTTGCACCTCGGCGACTCCTGCAGCTGAAGCCCACGGGCAGCATCGGCCTCCTGACGGACGTGGGCGAACTCCTGGGCGACGGGTCCTACAAGTACACTGGGCCGCCGACGGTGGATATTCCGCATGCCATCGAAGTCTTCTCTCAAACCCCCTGCGTCTTCGAGCTGAAAGGAACCCAGGGACCCTCGGATCGCGTTCTTGGGCTGCATGCGCGAGGGCAGGCCCTTCCCGCCAGAGGTTTGGTCCGCATGGCAAACAACGTTGGCCTCGGACAACCACGGCGTCCTGGACCCTCGGCACCAGCGCGAAAACTTTCGGCTCGGCTACGGCATGGGCATCTATCTACTGAGAAACGCTGGCGAAGTGGATCAACACGCGCGCTCGTCGCGACGCGCCGCGTGTGGGCGCGCCCCTCGTTCTTGCAGGCGGACGAGTGCAACGCGAATCAGGGCGATCCCGGCGCGGGCCGGCGCCTCCTGAACGCCCCGAACCTGCACAAGACGGGGGACATCCACGGCGTCTTACCGGCCCATGTCGGCATGGAAATGCTATTCGCGGCAGCGCAGGAAGAGCTGAAAAAGAAGCTGGGCTCGAGCAGGAGCAAGGGGGCACCATCGTATCCTTCGAAGTTCACCCCGAAGACGAGCAACGGTGCGAGGAGTGCTCGCCGGGCCAGCTTTTCCGCCCCCGCTACCTACCGCAGGGGATCTGGCGCTGCTACAGGGCGCCGAAAGCGCCGACGACGACGGCGAGGCCGAGGCGCGGGCGAGGAGCTTGCTCATGTTCAGGCCCAGCGAGCAGGAGCTCACGAGGCAGACAGAGCTCGGGGCCACACGCCGTGCGCCGCTCGGGGTTCACCATGACGCGCGTCGCACCTCGCCTCCATGCTGTCGCAGGGCCAGACGCTGCGCAAGGGCGTCGCCATCGACTGCGCGAGGGACGAGGACGCTGGTCGCACGGGCATGTCGGACGAGCAATGGTTGCTGCGCCTCTACGTCATGTTCTCCTGCGCCACGCGCGTGCGGAACATGCTGCTCCTGCTGCCGCCGCCGCGAAAGTTCCTGGAGCGAGGGCCGCCGGCATCCTTGCGGAAGGCGCTCCTGGAGTCCGACGTCAGAGCGGAGTGCTCCAAGGCAGAATCGGAGCAGTTCGCGGCAGAGCTGAGCTTCGCGCTGCCCCCCGCTTGAGCGCGGCGGCGCCCCGCTCGGAACCCGCGGGGTTGTCCCAACGGCTTGGTCTCGCGCGCCAGCGGCTCGCGGGGTTGTCCCGACGGCCTGGCCGGCGGGGCTGTCCCCGACGGCTGCGCGATTTCGCCGTCGGAGAACGCGCCCCCGTCAGGCGTGGCGGCGAGGGCGCCGAGGAAAATCTACGCGCGCGCACATGCCAGGATGAAGGAGAGGAACAGGAGGAGAACGAGCGGGGCGGCGATGAGGGGGAGAAGGAGGAGAAGGTGGAGGAAGGCAAGGCAAAGGCCGAGGAGGAGGAGGAACATGAGGAGGAGAGGGATGAAGTGGAGAAGGCGGAGGAGGAGGCGGAAGAGGACGAGGATGAGAAATGCAAAGAGTTGGACGAGAAGGAACAAGAGGAGGAGAAGGAGGAGAAGGAGGAGAAGGAGGAGGACGGAGAGGGCGGAAGGAAGCCTCCGCCAGACGAAGAAGAAAAAGACGAGGGGCAAGCTAAATCGATTCTCGTGTGGGGTCCTACCGTCGGAATAACTTTTTGTGTTCGCATTGCGCACGGGCTCGAGGCGTTTGAAAATCAGCAACGGCCCCCGGAGGTCTACGGCCGGTGGTCTCCAGAGATCTGCAGCAGAGGTCAGCGGAAGTCTTTGGAGGTGTCTGGAGTCTCCTGAAACCCTGAGGGGTTAAAAACGGTTGACGTTCTCGACCTTCCAATCTCGAAGAGCCCCCAGATTGGCGGCCTGCGTAATCAAAACTTGCCTTAAGTGCTCCAGGATAAAGCATACAGCCCCTCTTTGGAGGGCCTCCGTTACGAAACAGGTGCGCGAGGAACACAAGAACGTCGGGCCCCTTTCGAACATTTTGAACTTATCCTGGAAGTCTGCTCTGCGCTTCCGAATAACCGCTGGGGGTGGGTGGTGGGGCACTGCCGCCGACAGCCGATCATCGACCCCCCGTCGCGGACGCCGCGCGCCGAAGGCACCGCGCAGCCCTGGCGCGGCGCGCCGACGCGGCGAGGTTGACCCCGCTTGGGGATACCGACCCCCCCACGCGTATCAACGGGTGCAGGGTACGTTTAGGTCGGGCATGTCCTCCCACAGGCAGATTTTGCAATAACAGTTCAAAACAACCAACCAATAATAAGTATATCAAACAGAATCAAAAGAGCACGAACAATCGTCACCAGACAATTTGTTTGACTATGTTTTGGATGTTCCTCCTGTAAAAGGACATGCCCGACTTCAAGGTGCGTTCGTGCTGCCCGTTCGATTTCTTGCAGGCTCGCCAAGCAGAAGGCGGTCCTCGGGAGCAGTGCCGCCGCGGCGCTCGCGCCCGCGGTCGCCTGCGCCGCGCGCGGGGGCAGGCGGGCGAGTCGGGGGGCGCCTCCCCAGTGAGGCCTGGCGGAGGGAAGGCGGGGGGACCCTGGAGGCTCTCGCGCTGGTGGGGAGAGGACGAGGAGGGAGGGGGAGGAGGAGGAGGAGGAGGAGGAGGAGGAGGAGGAGGAGGAGGAGGAGGAGGAGGAGGAGGAGAGGAGGAGGAGGAGAGTAGGAGGAGGAGGAGGACGAGGAGGAGGACGAGGAGGACGAGGAGGGAGGGGGAGGAGGAGGGGAGGAGGAGGAGGAGGAGGAGGAGGAGGAGGAGGAGGCGGCATCAGCGCGAGGGCTTGGGTGGTTCGTCTGACAAGGCAGTCCGCAACTTCGAACCTCGAGGAAAGGAGGGAGGAAGGAGGACGGGCCCCCGCCCCCGGAAGCAGCCCGCCCCTGTCGCACTACAAGTGCGCGTCCGTAGGCTAGGCAGGCCATGCCGCTGGATGCGTCCTTGCCACCGGCTGTCGTCGGCCAGAAACAAACTCCAACAGCTGCAAGGGTGCAGGGCCGGGTGCGTCCAAACTGCAGCTCTTGCCTTAGCGCCGCGCGCGGGCGGTGAAGCACCTACCAGCAGCAGCAAGGAATGGAGGGCGGTCCGTTTACAACATGCGCCAACCGCTGGAGACTTGTTTCAATTTCTGTGAACACCCACATTTTTCAGGGGCGCGCAAACACGGATTAGCGATCCATGGATTCGGCGCGAGGTCGCCGAATCCATGGATCGGGTGAAGTGCCCAAAATGCGACTGGTGCCGCCTTCTCATGGAGACGGGACCCGACGCTAATCCACGCCCCCTTGATCCATGCTTGCGATCGCCCGACATTTGCAACCGCTACACGGGTGGAAGGCGGCTCCTTTACACTACGGGACTCTCGCTTGAGGTCTCGGAGGGGCGCAACACTTTCGTAAACGACTGGAGGGCAGATCCTTTTCCAGACGGGGCTACCACTGGAACCTTTGTGTACTATTTATTATCGTGCCTTTCTGCGGTGGACCCTTTACCACATTGGCTCTCGGCCAAGTGGCAGGCACATGGGCCACTCGTCATTCAAGAAGGCCGCTACCCGCAGTGGAAAAGGACTCGGCCATCGGGCCTCGAGCACGCAGTGGAGCGCCCCGCGGCTCATATAATTGTGAGAGTTCGCAAAGTAATAGATTCATCCGCCACCGCGCTTCGGGCATGAAGTGGAGTGCCCCCGAGGCTCACGCAGCCTTGAGATGTTGAGGGCTTTAAAGGTTCTGATGGGCCCAGAGCCCCACTTTCCGGGGAGCTCCCGGGAATCTGCGTGAGCTCCGGGGAGCTCCCAGGGTGTGCCGCGTGCGCCTTCAGAAAGCCAGGAGGGTCATAAAAGGGGCCGCAGATGGTCCAAGAGGGCCCCACGCTCCCCCTATGATCGCTCCCAGGCGCCCAGGATGGCCCCAAGGCGGTTGCACAGGCCCCCAAAAAGCTCCATGGGGCCCCGAGAGCCCCCCCCCCCATCAGAGGGCCCCAAGAGGCCAATATGATTAATTCTCGGCAAGTTGTTGTCTGAAAAGATTTTGGTGTTCTCGCCTTTTCGGCTTCCCGACGCTCCAAGACGGCCCGAGGGGTCCCCAATATTATGGCCCAAGACAGCCGCCGAGACCTCTAAGAGGGCCTCAAGACGGCTCAAGAGGCCTCCAAGACGTCCCAAGACGGCTCCAAGAGGGGGTCCAGTCGGGGGAACCGAACGCACATTCCGAGCCCTCGGCCCCGAGAGGCCCCCTGGCTGAGCGCGCAGACGCTCGAACCGGCAGTCTGAGCAGATGGGCGCCCGAAGCGGCAATCCGGGCATGCAGACACCCAACTCGGCACTCGGAGACGCAAGGCCTTAGATCAGCGCTATGCGCACAGAGCCGCCTGAAGGCGCAGCCTCAGCGCTTAGACGCCCGAATCTGCTGTTTGATCGCGCACCGCCTCAGATCGGCACTCGACTGCCGAATCGGCAGTCGGAGCACGCAAAGGCTCCGATCGACAATCAGAGCACGCCGAGGCCCAGATCGACGATCTGAGCACGCAGATGCCCACATCGGCAATCTAAACACGCGCGGGCCCCGATCGGAAATCTGAGCATGCACGAGCCCAGATCGACAATCAGAGCACGCAGACACCTGAATCGGCAATCAGAGCACAAGCTGAGCACGCAACGACTCCCGATCGGCATTTGAGCACGCGCGCAATCAGAGCACGCAACCGCCTCAGTTCGGCAGCTTGAGCACGCCGATGTACAGATCGACGATCTGAGCACGCAGACGCCCGAATCGGCAACCTGAGCCGCAGACGCCCCGCAAGACGGCCACACAGACCTCCAAGAAGGCCCTACAGCGCCCAAAGAGGGCCCCACGACGGCCCAGAGGGGTCCCCAAGACGGCCTCCGAAGGTCAAGAGGCCCCCAAGAGTCCAGAGGCCCCCAATATGCCCACAAGAGGCCCCCAAGAGGCCCCCAAGACGGCCTCCAAGACGACCCCGAAGGTTTCCACAATGGCTGGGGGAACATGTGGTCGAACAGCTTGTCAAGACTTCGGCCCAGCGTTTGGACACATAGGCGTTTCCAAAAGGCAGGGGGCGGCGGTGGATCGCCGTAGGCGTCTTTCGATACTTGCAGGGGCTTCTGAGGACGGGACTTGGGACGGGAGGGTGTACTGCAGCATCGTTGATGCATCCTGGGTTTCTTCTGGTCCTCCTCCTCCTCCTCCTCCTCCTCCCCTTTCCCCACTCGTCTTCTTCCGCTCGTTCTCCTCGGTCTCCACGTCCTCGCCCTCGCCCTCTTCCTCGTCGTCGTCCTCTCCTCTTTCTCTTCCACCTTCTCCTCCACCCCCTCTACTTCTTCCTCCTTCTCTTCTCTTCCTCCTCCTCCTCCTCCTCCTTCTCCTCCTCTTCCTCGTGCTCTCTCCCCACTCGTCCTCGTCATCCCTCTCCAACTCGTCTTTGTTACACTCGTCCTCCTCGTCCTCGTTCTCCTTCTCGTCCTTCTCCCTGTGTCGGGCCTGATACTTCAAGCAATCCTGTCCCCTCCATGACAGCATGTCAGACGATGCGGAAATGCTCCGCGGGTCGGGGTGCCCCTGTCTGGAGGTGCGCTGAAATCACACTCTGTGTAGTACAGGGGTAGGAAGTGAAGGGAGGGGACGGGGGAGGAGCCGGCATAACCAGACAGGATGGGAAGGGGGGATAATACTGGCGAGGCTGGCGTCCACAGAGGGCCTACCTCGATCTGCACTTCTCTCCCTCTTTCCCTGGGAGAGGAGGATGATACTGAAGAGCATACGACGGCGTGAACTTTGCAATCATGGTGATCGCTTTGCGGTCAGGTGGTGCGAAAGCCCCGTCGTACGCAGAAGTTACCTCTACACCACCGTGTCTGGACGTGCACCACCTGGGCATTGACATGGTGCATACGCCCTCCTGGCCAAGGGCCAAGAGGGTCTGCTCGCAATCTCGGCCTCCAGGATGGCCCTGGCCAGGCATCATGATGGTGTGTAGATGCCTTCTGCGGATGCTACACGAAGAAACACGGCATACACGTAAACTTTTGGAAGCCCGCGCGGAGCTCAGAATTCTTGTCTGTTCATGTCATTGTTTGTTCCTCCATGTGCCGAGTGCCGTTGCAATCAAGACGCTGACATAAGGAACGGTTTGTGTACGAAAGGGGCTCGACATTCCTCGGGCCATCCTGTGGTTCTTCCTCAAACCCTTCTCGTGACGCTGGCGCTCTGGGGGCCAAAAAAGGAGCTTCGTTCCTTATTACACGCCGGTCGAAAGAAGTAGGGGAAAACATGAAGTAGGAAGGCGGAGCAATAAGATTGGATTCAGGCCTTCGCAGAGAATCAGCAACACACAGCAGAAGCATCATCGGTTCTTGAAGCAGGAAGGCGCTTGAAGCAAGTTGGGATCTGGGAGTCCAAAAATACATGCTTTCAACGACCGGCGTGCACTTTTCCTTACAATCGGGCCGCTGACCCAAGGAACGACAAATACGGAACGAGGCCCCCTTTTTCCAAAGAAGCCCATGAAGTCCGAAGGGGCACTGGGGGGGGGCTCACCACCAGAAGAAAACGGAACGCACGCAAACCTAAGGAACGCCCGAGCCCCTTTTGAAAAGAAATATTTGTTATTCACTGGCCCGACTGCATATCTCAGCGGTTCCCGGTGCCGGGTTCCCGGGTTCCTGGTCATTGGTTCCGGGCCGATTTCGGTAGGTTCCGGGTTCCCCGGTTCCTGGTCGATCTCCTTATCGATCCCGCGATGCATTATCGATCTCATGATCGATCTCCCTAATCATCTCAACCAATCGATCTCACCATCGATCTCATCAAAATATTCACTGATTGGGGTTTTTCTCTGGTGTAGTATTTCAGCGGCCCGACTGTAACGCTATGGTTAGGTCGGGCATGTCCCCCTACAGGTGGATGCTGGACGACGAATAAGAAATACACACAAACTCCCCCCCAAATGGTCAAACATTATTTTGGAAAATTGTCCCCAGACGATTTTTTCGACTATTCTTTTGAGAATTTCTCCTTCAGAGGGACAGGCCCGACTTTGACGCTACGGACATGGCGAGCCCTGCGTCCGTCGGGTGATGGCGCTGCACGGGCCGGAGGGGGGGGGGGCTGGCCGCCTCGCCCTTCGCCCCCGCCCCTCTCGGCGCGGTCACCTCCAGAGATCCTGAGGCTCGCGACGGGAATTGGGAGGACGAGGGTGAGGACGAGGAACAGAAGGAACAGGAGGAGGATGAAGAGGAAGAAGAAGAGGAGCAAGAGGATGGAATCGAAGCCCGCTCAACTGAAAGACGGAGAGGAAGAGCAGGCGAACGCGGAGAAAGAGGAGGGAGCAACACTGGTATGAAAGATGCAGAGCGGTTGTCGAACATCTGGCCAGAGACATCGGGACGTGCAGAAAAACGAACAACGACACACACAATTTCGCCAAATGGAACATTGCATGCGCACCGTGCGCAGAGTCCTTGCTACATCCATAATTCAATTACACTCCGAAGCTCAACCGTCTCCCTATCAAGATCAACGCGATGACAATAACCACTGGCACAACCACCATTACCATTCTTACCGTCGCGAATGCGCAAGGCTCCACTATGGCGCAAGAAAGGCCAATCTGACTCAACGCGGCATCTACGATGGTCTCAGGAAACACCACATCTGGCCAACATGTCCACAACGATCCCCTAGACCTAATGCGAGGTCTTCAAAATGACCTCCAAGACGCCTCCAAAAGGTCCAATGCCAATGTTCGGACAACAATGGAAACCCATGGGTGGAACCCTGGCGTAGACCGCTCTCTCCGTCAAGTGTCGCACGCCGCTGTGACCTACAAAAGGTGAACCGGCCACCTACCTTCTCATTACTTCCACACTGCCCGCATACATGAGCACTTGCATCCATCTTCCCTCCCTGCCCTCCTCCAAACATTGCGCCCTGATATATGATTACGATTGCACGCCCTTTTTCTTGGCCACCAAGACGGCGAACAGGTCAACACCAAACAACGCTTGCAGATCATCCAGGCGCATCTCAAGTACAGGGACTGGCCTTGTGGCACGTTGTCCGCTTGCACAAAGAACAAACCAATCCTCGTAGGTCAGACAATTCTGATACAACAGCTGGAAACCAAACAACACTTGCAGATCGTCCAGGTACACCTGAAGTACAGGGACTGGCTCTGGGGCGCATTGTCCGCATGCATGAGGAACAAACGCATCGTCGTAGGTCAATCAATTATTACCCTATCGCACTTCCAGACGCAATGCACAGAAGTGACTACATTACAACACTTTGTGCAAATCCCGCTTCGCCACAACGGTGCAATGAGAAACAACGGAAGATGTGGAGGCCTCAGGTGTATAAGTACGGACTGGGCAGAGAAGTCTAGAAACTGTCTTTCCAGGCGTGTGACCACGAACTCGTGAAGGACGCACGGCGCGAGAGTGTGTGTGTGTGTGTGTGTGTGTGACAAATAACCGTACCTCTGGACACTATCTTACCAGCTGTCACGTGACCAGAGCCATCACCCACCATATTCCTGCGCTGTTGCTGCGCTCGATGCCAGATGCGTGTGGATCCTCTTCGGGCGGCTACGGCGTGTGGAGTCTCATATGTGTGGAACCCAGACATCACATGAGCGGAGCTCGGGAGCGGCCAAGAGGGGGGTGTCCAAGAGGGGGGAGTGCAAATCATGACCGGCGGCATGTGCGCGGCCCAGCGGGGGGGCCAGGGACGTAATGAAACAAGAAGAGGCGCCATGAATTCTCGGGAAATGTCATGGCCCCCGCCATGATATCCCCCCCCCCCTAGTCCTCACCCCCCTCTTTGCCGCCCCCGAGGAGCTCCTTGTGTGTAGAACCCCGTGCGTGCGGAACCCCACGGGCCCCCCCACGTGTGGACCCCATGCGTGCGGGACCCCACGCGTGTGCAACCTCATGGAGCCTCCATGGTGTGTGTGTGTGTGCGTGTGTGTGTGTGTGTGTGTGCGTGTGTGTGTGTGTGTGTGTGTGTGTTGAACTCCACGGAGGTCCGAGGGGTGTGCCGTGCGGGAACCCCGAGGGCGACACCGGCCTGATGCTCCCTGCCAGGTCAATTCCCCGAAGCCTAGAGTCGGCGGTGGACAAACCTCCCTTTAGTAAACCTCCCCTTAATGAAAACAACCTGGGACCGAAACCGACGGACCTGGACCCGCAAAAATGACGGCCGCGTCGCCCTCTCGCGAACCGAAAACGGCCAATTCCTTAATCGACGTGTCAGGGTAGGAGGTCTATCAATCTCCGATAGAGCCCCTCGAATGCAAACACTGCCTGGAGACACTACTGTGATCGCCAGGGATCGCCGGTTCAGACAGAGACAAGAAGAGACGCGCATCTGTGTAACGCAACGGTGGCCACTCACCCTTACGTTTTTGGGGACTCCGATGGCATGGTGCTCCCGCTGCAGCGCCACTCTGCCCCTGTCGTCCGGAATCGCCGGCCCAACATGGCCCCAAGACGTCCCAAGAGGCGCCCAGAACAGCCCAAGAGAGCCCCACAACGGCCCAAAAAAGGGCGCAAGAGCGGGATCCCGAATCTACAATTCGAGCCTTCCGCCCCAAGATGCGCCCAGGAGGCCTCAAGAGGCCCCCAAAATGTTCCAAGAGGCCCCCCAAAGGTCCCCAAGATACCCAGGAGGCCCCAACATGAACCCCACGAGGCTTAAAGTTGCTGCCAAGAGGCCTCACAAAATGATCCTCGGGAAGTGGTTGGGAAGAAAGCCCCCAGATGGCCCCATAGGTCTCCACGACGGTCCGCGAAGCTTCCGAAACAGCTCCACGAGAAGGCCCAGACGGGAATGCTTCAACGGACATCTCGAATCCTCGGCTCCGAGCGGGTTCCGAGCGGGTTCTAGGAGTCCAAAAGAACCACCACGAGCAAGCCCCCATGACTCGTCTAGGAAGTCCCAAGAAGGCACCCCGAAGCTCCCACGATACTCCCACATGACCCTCCATGGGCGCTCCATTGCCGGCGGCGCCCTCGAAGATCCTCCCAGACACTCAGACGAGACCCGAAGAAGCTTCCCTGAAAACCCTGGCCCTCAACCATACATCGTGACGGGATGGGCCGAGGGCCAGTCGATACTTGCCGGTGTGGGAGGCTGCACAAAGCCTTCTCCTCGTCCTCCTCATGCTCCTCACTCTGACCCGTCCTCCTCCTCCTCCTCCTCCTCCTCCTCCTCCTCCCCCTTTCCGTGATCTCCTTCTCATGATCGTCACCCTTCCCCTTGCTCTCCACCGAATCCCCTTCCACGGGCTCGGTGCGTGTAGCGCAATTAAAGGATTCATCTCTAAAGCTGTCACACGCACGGACGTAAGGAGTCGGCGAATGTAGCGCAAGCCTGTAGAATCGTGATAGTACAAATGGTATGGGTAGTACATGCAGAAAGAACATTCGTTTTACTAATAGTTCCCGCAGTACTAGCAGTCGTAGTGGTAGTAATAGTCGAAGTCGTAGTAGTCGCAGTAGTAGCAGTAGTCGTAATAGTAGTAGTAGTAGTAGTAGTAGTAGTAGTAGTAGCAGTAGTAGTAGTAGTCGTAGTAGTCGTCGTAGTCGTAGTCGTAGTAGTCGTAGTAGTCGTAGTAGTAGTAGTAGTAGTAGTAGTAGTAGTGGTAGTCGTAGTAGTAGTAGTAGTAGTAGTAGTAGTAGTAGTAGTAGTAGTAGTCGTAGTAGTAGTAGTAGTAGTAGTAGTAGTAGTAGTAGTAGTAGTAGTAGTAGTAGTAGTAATAGTAGTAGTAGTAGTAGTAGTAGTAGTAGTAGTAGTAGTAGTAGTAGTAGTAGTAGTAGTACTAGTAGTAGTAGCCGTCGTAGCAGTAGCAGCAGTAGTAGTAGTAGTAGTAGTAGGAGGAGTAGTAGTAGCAGTAATAGTAGTCGTAATAGTAGTAGTAGTAGTAGTAGTAGGAGTAGTCGTAGTAGTAGTAGTAGTAGTAGTAGTAGTGGTAGTAGTAGTGGTAGTAGTAGTAGTAGTAGTAGTAGTAGTCGTAGTAG